TCAGGCAGAGGGATGAGTCTGTGAGGGAAGGGATGCCCAGAGAACCAACCTGGTGTTTGTCCAGACCCACTCCATTCTCCAGGCTGTCCAATCTGCTGTTCCAGACCCACAGCCCCCAGGGGAAGGCTTTGTGCTCATGGCCCAGGGAGCAGAGCTGCAGGATGTGCCCCGAGCCTTCTCCCCTGCTCTGCCCAGGGGAGCTGTACCTGCCCAAGGAGGAGCCCAGAGCTTCCCCTGGTGTGATCAGCAGAGCTCATTAATACCCTCTAAGGAGCTAGACCAGTTTCAGCAGGGCTGTTTTTCCCTTGGGAACAGTGTCCTGTGTCTCATCACAGAGCAGAGCCTGTTTCTTTGGCTACAGGGTGGTGGAGAGCTCTCAGTTTGCACAACTGTGTGTAATTATGGCATTCCTCAGCTTCTCTGGGGCCCAGCTCTGAACCCTGCACCTCCATCCCTTGTGCTGTGCTGGTCCCTCAGCCTCAGCCATGGCTCAGCTCCCCTCTCTCTCCTGAGGCTCATCCCTGCTGCTCTGCCATGGTGGAGCTGCATTTTCTTCCCAGGCTTCCCTCCTGAGCTGGGGCATGGGGCTCCATGGCCAGGAAAAGGGGTTTTCAGTTTTCACTCCTGCTGGGCTCCATCCACCACAACTCCCAGAGGTCCCACCAGCATTCAAAAGCTCTGGGAGGAGCTGGAGGTCTCCCTCCATGCCTGGGATGGTGCAGGGTTCTCCCTCCCCTTGAGATGTGTTCAGCTTTTGGGGAGATGTGTGTGATGGTGCAGGCAGCTTTGTGAAGGGTTTGGAATTGGTGCTTGCTCAGGAACTGAACCATGGCTTTTCTAGGACAGGAAATATTCCTAGTAAAGGAGATATCTATTGCCTGAACTGCCTGGCACCAGCTACCAGAGGGCTTATTTTCCTTTAGAATTTAGCTCTTTATTAAAAAAAAGACAAATCTTGCTTCAGAAATTCCACCATGGTGCCTCATTGTCCTTCAGTTCCCTTTCCATTCCCTGCAGATTGGCTCCTCACCAGATGCCATCCCTGTGACACTCCAGATCTAACCATGGCAAACGAGGGGCATCCCCCAAAAGTGCCATCAGTGCAAACTCTCAGGTGCTGCACAGAACAGGCTCAGTGCCAGCAGCTCTGTGACAGCTGCACCCTCCCAGCACAGGCAGTGACAGAATCCCAGGGTGCCTGGGGTGCAAGGGACCTCTGGGGATCAGGCAGGGTCACCTGGAGCAGGGACACAGGGGTATATCCAGCTGGGTTTGGGATGGCTCCAGAGAGACACTGCAGGCCCTCCTTGGGCAGCTTTCCAGGGCTCTGCACCCTCCAAGGAGTGAAGTTCTTCCTCCTCATGCTGAGGTTGAATTTCTTGTTGGGGTTTGTGGCCACTGCCCCCTTGCTCGTGCTGTTCTTGGGCACCCCTGAGTTGGTTGTGATTCCCGAGGAGCCCCTGAGCAGTGAGGGACAGAGCTCAGGCCCAGCAAGGACAGCTGAACAAGAGGGATGTGCCCTGCTCACCCTGAGCCCTGCTCCTCCCTGGAGCTGCAGCACCTGGGGGGCTCCAGGAGGGAAAAATTCCTACCTGGATTCTACCACAGGGGACACACAGGGCCAGGGGGCTGTGCCATGGCCCTGCCATGGGGTCTGTCCTGCTCCCAGAGCCCTCAGAGGTCCCAGGGTGGAGTCCCAGCCTCACGTCAGGGACTGATCCTGTGCCAGCCCTGTGCAGGGCAAGATGCTGCAGCCACCTGCAGAGGCCATGGAATAAACTCCACTCCCTTCCCATCACCACTGACCTTTCTCCCATCCTCCCTTTGCAGCACCACCTCCAGCTGAGCTGCAAATATTCAGGGAGATATTTGGGCACAGTTCAGGTGTCTCTGAGTGTGACTGGTCAGCAAGGAGGTCACACAGCCCCTGTGTGACTTGGAAGGGACCAGGTTACAGCCAACAAGCAGGGATGCTTTTGGCAGTCCATACTGCCTTGATAATATTTTTTTCCTTCTGTCCAATTTAATTTGAAATTTGTGTAATTTTAAGATTCTAGTGTTTTGCTTTGATTTCTTTCAGTCTAGGCTGCAGTGGAGAAAAGTGCAGGACAGTGGGGACTGGGCTCTGCTGAGCTCAAGGAGACAGGGCTGACTTCCAGTCCCTCTAGAAAGAGACACCAGTGACTCCTCCAGCATCACCCCCTCTCCCCAGCCTTGTGAACTCCCCCATTTGGGCTGAATTTTCAGTAAAAATGTACTGGAGGGCTCCTTTCCGATTCAGTGAGCAGAAGCTGAGGTTGTTGTCACCTGGGAGGGAAAAGCCACAGCACTGCAGAGCTGTGGCTGAGGGAAGGCAGCTGCACCCTGGGTGGGAGGCTCAGCCTCCCTTTGCCATGGGAGCACTGGCACCCAGCTGGTCCCGGGCCACAGGGCAGCTCCAGGGCAGAGATGGAGACTTGGATCAGTCCCTGATCCAACCAGGAGAGCTCAGAGCTGACTGTCCATCCTTCCCTGGAGATTCAGTCCCACTAAAAGAGATTTGTTTTCCCCTGCACTTTTTCTGTGTTCCTAATAGAACTGCAATCTGTAGAACTTTGTTTTCCCATGGCAGCCAGTGTGGTTTTCCCACCAGAGAGGGATGAAAATGGGACCCAGTGACTGGGGAGTGTTATACCTTGAAAAAGTGGGGAATCTTGTAGAGGGAAAAGTTTTGGGGTGGCTTTTCCTCTCCCCACTCAATCTAAAACACAAGGTGGTCTCATGAAGCCATCTGTAGGCCATGACAAGGGCATGTGGGCCCTGGGACCTTGCTGAGCACACCTGGCTGCCTTTGGGGCTGCAGATTCTCCCTGGGGAGCCCCTGGGTTTGGCTCTGCAGCAGTTTGTGGTGAGCAGGGTCCGAGGGCAGGCTGGGCACAGGGACAGGGAAGGGACAGACACAGGGACAGGGACAGCCTGAGTGCCCAGCACTGGCCAGGGCCTGCTGCACAGCACCCACCCCCCCGTGGCCTTTCATCTCCTTTCCGTCCCTCCCCAATTCCACAAACCCCACCCTTGTTTTTTAATTACTAAATTAGCATAATTGTACTAAGCTCAGAGAACTGTACTCAGCCCCTGCTGCGCCGTTTTCTGCTTCTGTTCCAGCCCTGAACAAGGCTTTGTTTCCATGAAACTTCTCTTGCATTTTCCAGCTCTACCAGTTGGTCAGGTCACAGTTATTACCTCTCCCTGCACATCTTTCTTCCTCTGCCAGGACCTGTGTGAGTTCCCTCTGGGGATTCCTGGAGACATCCCAGGATCTCAGACCTGGGCCCTGCTCCTGCCTGGGCCCTGGGCTTGGAGGGGAGACTTGCAATCCAGAACCTTCTTTCTCCAGAGTGGGCACCATGGCAGGCCCTGGGTCTCACCACACACCCCTGAAGCTCAGCCACCCGTGATAGCCACGACAGAGACACTTCCCAGGGCTGGGCCTGCCTGGAACCTGTCCTGGGATGCCTGGGATGAGGACAGGGGAGTCCTGGCACCCAGCTAGGCTGCAGCTGCTTGGCCAAATTAAGCTTGAAAAGATAAAAAATAGGTGGGAAAGGCTCTGTGTGCCATGCAACTGCTCCAGTCCTGCAGGGGATGCTGAGGGGCTGAAGGGCCAGGAGGAAGGACAAGGACTGAGCATCCCAAAGCCTGAGCCAAAGGAGAATATTTTCCAGTGGCAGCTTCCTCTGCTCCAATCCTGATCTGGGGAAGAGTTTGCATTTGAGTTTTGAATCCTTCCTGAAGGAGCTGCAGGGTGCTGTGACAGCCTTGAGTACTGGTGGCTGGGATAGAGAGGTGTCCCCAGTAGTGTCCCCCTCACCCTCTGTGGCCAGGGACAGTGAGCAGAGTGGCTCAGGATCCTGAATAGGCCAAAGGAAGGGATGTGAGGCCAGAGGAATTCAGCTGTCCTGGAGACAAATCCAAACCCACCTCCCAAAGCCTCTCCCTCACTCCCTCTGCCAGCCATGTCCTGCAGGAGCATCGGCATGGGGCCATGCTCTCCCATCCCCTGCTTTGGGAATGCAGTGTTTTCCTGGGAAGGCTGATCTCTCTGGAGCCCACACACTGTTTGATGCTGTTCCCTTCCAGCCCTGTCTGGGACCTGTGCTTTTCTCTCAGTTTATTGCATTTTCTGCACTTTACAGGCTCTCTCCAAAGGGATGGGGGGTGCTGCAGCACACCCCGGTGTGGTGTGGGCTTCAATCTGGGAGTGCTGCAATTCTCTGGATACCCCGGGAACACAGACAAGGCACTGCTGTAACTGGCAAGAGCAGCTCTGCCTGTGAGCTGAGCATGCCCTGCAGTGCCCCCAGCCAGGAGACCCCAGCAGTTTGAATTCTCACAAATTCACCCCTCCAGCCCTGCTCCAGAATGAGCTGGCACATTCCCAGCTGCCTTCACTGCCCAGCTGCAGGCTGGGGGGCTGTGACACAGAAATGGTTGGACTGGGGGGAAGAACGGGATGTTTGGCCTGAAATATGGATTCATCTCTGGAATTAACCCTTGAAATGCCCCAACTGCCACAGCTGCAGTGCTTGTGGTGGGCAGCTGGAGGGGAGCTGGTGCCTGGAGCTCTGAGGGCTTTTCCAGAAGCAGAGGAGTGGGGATGGAGAGCAGGCAGCTCTGTTCCCCCAGGCTGGTGCTTGGGGATCTCTGCAGCCCTGAGCCCAGCAGGGCTGGCTCTGAGTGGGGCCAGGGGGCTCAGCAGGGCTGTGGGATGTGAGGAACAGCCCAGGGCTGGAAGGGACGAGCCCAAAGCCTGTGTGAGCCCAGTCTGAGTGCCAGCATGGGGACACTGCAGGGTGGCCTGGCCTGGCCCTGGGCAGAGTTCCCCAGTGAGGAGTGCACACAGCCTCGGCCCAGGACAGTCCTTTAATGCACATCTGGCTGGCAGGGACATCTCGGGCTGCCACGGGGCACTGGGGGCACAGGGGGGCACAGGGGGCAGCTCTGCAGGGCTGGCAGGGGTGGGTGGCACTGGCCCTTGGGGACAGCACGGCCTGTGGCTGCTGAGGGGACGCTGTGCAGAGGCAGGGCTGAGGGCACTGCTGGAAGGAAGAAGCTCAGGACTCCTTTCCACACCGCTGTCCTCGTGTTCCAGCTCAGGGGGAATTCAGGGACGGGCACAAAGGGACAGGGAGCAGCAAGGGCAGGCTGGCAGCAGGGACGGGGACGGTCTTCTTCCCAGTGCTCCTGTGGGAAAGAAACAGCAGAGGGGCAGAGAGGCAATGGGGCAGAGGGGCAATGGGGCAGAGGGGCAATGGGGCAGAGGGGGAGAAGGGCAATGGGACAGAGGGGCAATGGGGCAGAGGGGCAATGGGGCAGAGGGGCAGAGGGGCAATGGGGCAGAGGGGCAGCTTTGGCTGTGGCTGGTGCCAGCAGTGCCTGTGGGATGAGGGTGGCACAGGCAGCACACCCAAAGGGCAGCACCCTTTGGGGTGGCAGGCATGCCATGGCAGGGAGGTGTGGGACAGACCCCAGCCAGGTGTGGGGTAGGACATGGGGACGGGTGGCCTTTTCTGTAGGGAGTGGAGACATTTCTGTGTCTCTCCAAGCACAGCACAGGAGGTGAAGGAGCTCAGGGGGATCAGCCCTACCTGTCACTGCCCCGTGGGGGACTTGGCAGCGTCGAACATCTTCTTCCTGCCCTCCATGCCCGACATGGCCTCCACATTCTTGCGCCAGTCTCCCACTTCCACAGGGCGCTCCTGCCGGGCACAGGGCTGGGCATGAGGCTCTGGCAGCCCTGCCCTGTCCTTGCCCTGCACAGAGCCCCAGCTGGGACACTGCTGCCCCTGGCAAAGCCCCTGTCCCTCTGCCATGTGTCCTGGGGAGGTGGCAAACAGTGCCCTGATCTCCACAGGGAGCTCTGGATCCTTGTGGGCACTCCCCTCCCCAAAGCCTGGCCAAGCTGCTTTCATGCACCAGAAGGCTCAATAATCACAGAAAGATTTCTTTAGGAGGAAGAAACCACATGGGACTTTGGGTTTACAGCAGCACAGTGGGGCAAATGTTTGTACTGAAGTAAAAACACTTCCTGCATTGTCCTCACCTTCTCTGAGCCTTTGGTGGGGACTGGGATTGTTGGTGTGACAGTGGGAGCCTGGCAGACACTTCCAGAGCAGTTCTGGGCAGGTGACAGCAGTTCTGGGAGCCCAGGTGTCTGTTCTGCCCCCCAGCATTCATAGATTACAAGCTGTGCCCCAACACCATCCCACCACACCTAGAACAAACCCAGATCTGTTCTGGTGCTCAGGGCTGTAAGCAGAGTTTTCTGTCCAAAGGGCTGGAAAAGTGCTATACCACAGTGGGGGGACAAATGAAAAACTGCTGAAAATTGAGATTCTCATCCAATTCTGCTCATCCAATCCTCATTCACTCTGCTGAGCTGGAATGAGCTGGTGAAAGCCCTCTGGGAAGAAAGAATCCCCAGCTGTGCCTGGGGATGAGGCTCAGCTCCTGCTGCTGGGCACCTGCACACCCCAGGCAGGTTTGGGCATCACTGGCATTGAGATTTTCCCTTCTCACACCTTTGCCAAGCAGGTGGGAACTGGGCCATTTATCTCAGGCCAACTGCTGGGCTGCTCTGTCTTATCTAATCTGAGTCTGGGAGTTCCCTGGGAGATTTCTGGGTGTGATTGTGCCCAGCAGGAGCTCTCATGGTTCCCTACATGATCAAACTCTGCATGTGCAGCTCAGCCATGGTGCTGGGGGACCCTGGTGAGAGAATCCTCCACATTCTGGGAAGGAAGAGCACCACGGACACAGCCCTGAATCTCACCAGTTACACCCACCTGGCCCAGTCAGATCCATAATCTCACCAGTCACCATCCACCTGGCCCAGTCATATCCATAATCTCACCAGTTTCCATCCACCTGGCCCACTCAGATCCGTAAATCTCACCAATTTCCATCCACTGGCCCACTCAGATCCCTAAATCTCACCAATTTCCATCCACTGGCCCACTCAGATCCCTAAATCTCACAAATTTCCATCCACCTGGCCCAGTCAGATCCGTAAATCTCACCGGTTTCCATCCACCTGGCCCAGTCAGATCCCTGAATCCCACCAGTCACCATCCACCTGGCCCAGTCAGACTGGTCCCACATGGTCCCACAAGATCCCACAGTGGGAATGGCTCACAGGGCTCTTTCCAAGGCTGATGGGGGTGAGCACAGGGTGCCCTGGAGAAGGGCAAGGGCACCCATGGAAGTGTGTCCATCTCCAGCCTCCAGAGGAGTCACCCACCTTCTCCGTGTCCTCCTTCTTGACAGACTTCAGGTTGGCCCTGAGGTCCATGGACACCTTGTGCTTGGAGCCCAGCAGAGCCCTGAGCATGGCGTCGGCCGAGACGCGGACCCGGCGCAGGGGAGGCCGCTTGAACTTGCCCCGGAGATCGAGGACTTTGATTTTCAGATCTTTAATCTGCAGGGGCAGGGGAGGAGCAGGAGGGGAGGTCACTGCTTGGCTGCCTTGCACAAAGAGCCCCTGTGGGAAGCAGGAGCTCTGGCAGCACCGAGCCCCAAGGGGATCTGCTCCTCTCCTGTGGGACCATCCCCACCAGGGCTCTGCCCCACCAGGCTCAGGGCTGGGCCATGGGCTGGGCCCAGCCTGCTCAGGGGGCAGCTGTGCCACCAGAAGCTCTCAGACCCACAGGGGTGACCAGGAGAGTGAGGAACCTCTCTGTGGACCGCGATTCCCTTGGGATTCCCTTGGGCAGGGATGAACCTTGCTCTGAGTGGTGCCTTGCAGAGCAAACATCAGCCCTGAGAAACCCTGGTGTCTGTCCCAGATCCAGCCCAGCCTGGTCCATGACACATCCCCATTCAGGCCAGAGCTGCCACTGGGAGGGAGTTTCCAGAAGGAACCAGCCCGTCCTCCCTCCTACCTCCCGGGTGTTATGGTTGCATTTCGCTTCAATGTCGTATCTCTCCTCATCCACAATTTCCACCTTCTCATGCAGTTCCCTGCACAAGTCCTGGGGCCAAGAAAACAGGAGAGGGGTGAGTGAGGCCCCTCATGCTCCCAGGGAGCCCAGTGCACCCTCGGGCTGAGCAGTACCTGGAGCTGGCTCAGGGAGAGCCCGCTGGTGTGCAGTGGGGTGACCCTCTCAGACAGGTACCTCTCCTTCTCTGCCTGCTTGTCCACAATCTCCTGATCCCACTCCTCCTTGGCCTTGGCCAGCATCAAACTCTGTGAGCACCAGGAAATGGCACAAGTGTGAACAGGCCCCTGTTTGCCCTGAGCCACTCACACCACATCTGTGGGATGGGACAGACTCGTGTGCCACCCCCTCCCTGCTGTCCCCAAACACAGCAGAGCCTCCCCACAGCTGGGTGGGGCCGTGGGGCTGTGGGCATGTGAGGCTGTGGGTCTGTGGGGCCATGTGGCTGTGGGGCTGTTGGGCTGTGGGACGAGGGGCTGTGGGGCATGGGGCTG